ATTTATTCAGTTTTTTACCCCCAAAGCCCCAGTAGATAGTTGTATGTCATAGGTTCACATCCTTCTAGTTGCTGTACGTGGGACTCGGCCTCGCGTTGGATCCGAACCCGGACCGCCAGCATCAGAGTGCGCGCACTTAACCGCTAAGCCACGGAGCCGGCCCTCCCACTAACTTCTAAGAAACCTTTGCCTACAAGGGCAACGTGAGTATGAAGTGTCTTGCTTTGCCAACGGTCTCAACCTTAGTACTCAGGACAATAACTAGCACACAGGTGCTTAATAAATATTAACTGAACGGATCAATCAATGAATATGAATAAGTAAACGAACCGGTTCTTTGCGAGCAATGTCTATACCCACTTGGAGACCAGCATCTAAGCTTACAGGCCGGCTCCCTCCAAGCTCACTTTCCAAGGAAACCCATCCTTCCGGTGGTGACGTGAAAGAAACGCCTGTCAATCCTCGCGAGGGGCGGGGCAGCGGCGGGCCTCGCACTTCCTCTCCACAGACAGCCTCCGACAGGCTTTAAGACCGGCGCAAGACGGAAGGAAGCTGGGAGGCGGGGCCAGGGGAGGAGGTCGCGCACGTCTGACGTCACCAGCCGGCGCCCTCAGAGGTGAGGACGCTGAGAGCCGTGGAGGAACACTTTTCTCGCGAGCGTCAGGTGTGCACCATGGCGACCTCCGTCCAGCAGCCGCCTCAATCTGGCGGCGGGAAGTGCAAAGGCAGCGCTCAGTGCGTGCCGGCGGCGGCCCCGGCAACTGGAACCCGGGCCAGAGGGCCTTCTCATCACCTGCAACATGAACGAGCGCAGGTGCGTGGAGGAGGCCTACAGCCTGCTCAACGAGTACGCAGACGACGTGTACGGTCCGGAAAAGGTACAGGCTCGGGCGGGCGGGGCCGTTAGGGCTCTGAGGAAGGAGGGAAGGCGGGAAGGCCGGCTTTCTGTATACGCATGCGTGAGTTTTGTCGCGAGCGTGGCGAGGAAGGGGCGTGGCTTCCCCGGTTCCCGCCCCCTCGCGTCGTGAAATGCTTGCACCTTGGGATTTTGTCCGCATCGTTAATCACGGTGGCTCTCCTTTCTAGATTGCTTCCTGCGGCTCAGGCTTTGTGTTTCTGAAGCTCTTTCAGAAACATTTACTCCTCACGATATCCTTGTGACGTAATGTTCACGAGGACACTGAGGCTCGAGTAGGTTCGGTAGATGGTCCAGTTCACACGGGCAAACTTCGTTCCTCGTGGTTTTTGCCGTGTCTTACCGCCATCTGAACACCGTGGCGGTGATAATGTGTTGGTCCTAAGCAGTATCTCTGGAATAGATACTGAGTTTAGTATTAGTGCTAGTTATGTGTCAAATGCACGTATAAATACATTTTAACAGGTAGAAACTTTTGTACCAATATCACCTAAATTCTAATTGTCCCCTCACAGTTTGGAAATCATTATATTCTTGGTTTAGGATCTGGACACGAACACTCCAAGAAATTAAATGCAGGAGGATGGTCCTGAGGGGATCTGAATTCAGGTACTGTCATTTACTTGCGCTGGGATTTGGGCACTAAATCTGATTCTGCTGAGCTAGATAAGAGAACAATGATAGTGTTTCTTAAGGTTAGCTAAAAGGTTGCTTATGTACATAAAATAGATCTTGGTATATAATAAAGGCTGCATAATGTGTATAGTTGTATTAGTGCCTGATTGGCAGCTCTGTTGGTGAGGCAGAGAAGTGGACCACATGTGCGTGTCCTTTCTACATTGCTACCTTGAGTGAGTTTTTGAACTGTTTCTGTTCCCTGTTCCTCAGTAGAACAAGAGTAAGAGTTTCTAATTCCATAACTATTTGGTCTCATCTCACCAAGAAGAGAGTATCATATCAGGCACTAAGATATCTAGTGACGGGATTAAGGTCCACCCTGAAATTCATCTGGTGAGCGCATTGTCCTCTGTCTCAGACTGTCAAGATGCTTTTGAAAACATTTTAAAATTATGTGTACCATAGTCTGAGGGAACTCCCTTCTTCGTCTGAATTTTGGAGGGAGTGATGTCTCAGCCTCTTAATAAAAAGCTTTATTGTTGATGTTGAGCCATCTGTCATTGGGGATTTCACATAAGTAGTTAATTATAGCTTTTAACATGAGCTGTTGTGGCGTTTCTGCTTATTAATTTTATGCAAACAGTTTACAGGCAAGGATCAGCAGCCCTCTGGAAGTGAGGGAGATGACGATGATGTGGAGGCTGCTTTGAAGAAAGAAGTTGGTGACCTTAAGGCATCTACAGAGATGAGGCGAAGAAGATTCCAGTCAGTGGAGAGTGGAGTAAATAATGTAGTCTTCATCAGGACACTTGGCATAGGTGTGTCTGAGTAATACGCCTTAAGATTATCAGTCCTGGGCTGGCCCCGTGGCTTAGTGGTTAAGTGCGTGCGCTCTGCTGCTGGCGGCCCGGGTTCACGTCTGGGCGTGCACCGATGCACCGCTTCTCTGGCCATGCTGAGGCCACGTCCCATGTACAGCAACTAGAAGGATGTGCATCTATGACATACAACTATCTACTGGGGCTTTGAGGGAAAAAAATATATTAAAAAAAAAAATTATAAAAAAAAGGTTATCGGTCCTATAATGTTTGGGCATCTCCCGGGCATCTCTCTGTTTCAGAGAACACTGCCTACAAAATGGCTTCATGGTCAGGGCTCAGTTAATCACTTGATTGCATCCTGTTTGTACTGTGTTAGCTCTAGGCATATGGAGAGGTGGAATGGGGTGGTGGACGTAGCATTGGCTTAGGAGTGGAAACTTGGCTCTGCTGCTTTCTTTGTATGTAACTTTAGGCAAAACAAGAGTACACGTTCTGTCTAAAAGGAGCAGCTGCTACTCAGCTCCAGCCATTTGGGAATGTAGTTCTGGAAGGGCCAGATCTTCTGGTTTTTCAGAAGTTGGAAATCTAAGTTTCTAGATTTTTAACTGTGGTTAAATACTTTAAAAGTATTGCAAACACTGAGCAGCCCAAAATAGACTTGTGTGTAATCAGGATGTGGCCTAAGAACTGTATCATGATCTTGTGCAATTCATGGTTCTGGAGCTCCTCCAAGGTCTGGGGTCTAGACTTCTGTACAACTCTAGCTAATGGATTAATGAAATCTTTTTAAGTGACTTGCAGATTTCTGTTTCGTTTTTATAAAAAAAAATGTGTACTATTTAATGTTTGTTACTTTGACAGTTACTATTGTTATAGGAAAACAGCAGTATGGTGGTGGTGCTGGATAAATGAGACATTACAGAAATGTTAATTCCAGTGTCTTCGTGAACAATTGTTTTTCATGAAAGCAGTAATAATGCTGCAGAGTTAAAATATTAGATACAGTGTTAATACATAGTAGGCACTGAAGAAATATTAGGTGGAAAAAAATGGTTGGTTAGACTTATTGAAAATTCATTATGATAATTCTACTCTGTCAATTTATGTCACTGCCAATGAAAATTCATTTTAGAGAGTTTGAAGAGTCTTTAAAATGTCTGAGAACTTATATTCTTACTTGTTTGCTCTGTGCTGACTTTTTCTCTTAGAACCTGAGAAATTGGTACATCATATTCTGCGGGATATGTACAAAACCAAGAAGACGACGACTTGGGTTATTCTACGAATGTTACCCTCTCAGGCACACGCAGGGCTTTCTTAGAAGATGTGAAGAAATATGCAGAAACATTTTTGGAACCCTGGTTTAAAGATCTAAAAAGGGACATTTCAGATTGTATACAGATCTAGAAATAACAGTCACATGAATAGAGAAATTATCAAAGAATTGGCAGGTATATTTCTCTTAGTGATTTTACATTGGTGTGCAATGGTAAATACTTGTTTTTAAGAAATTTTTTTTAAAGATATAAGGCCTACATTTTCAAATGTAGAACAAGTATATTGAAATGTCCTTAAAATAATATCCAACCTAACTGATTTCAATATGTTGGATATGAGATTATCTGGTAGTTAGATAATAAGTCTTTTCCAAATCAAGACTGAATTTTCTTTGGGGAAAAAAAAATACTCTTATTAAATGTTTCAGGATTTCATTTGTATTTATTTAGAGAAAAAGTTCAGGGAGTTTGACTGAGGTCCATGTAGTAGACTAGTATATATACTGTTTAACAAGTCCCAAACAGAAAGAGATGAAAGATTGTTTTTGTGTATATCAAGCTTCATGTATCCTTCTCAGACTGTGTCCCTATTCTGTTACAGGAATAGTAAACAGCGTCAATTCAGAAAATAAAGTGGATCTTACCAATCCACAGTACTAAGTGGTAGTAGAAATCATTAAAACTGTCTGTTGCCCAACTGTTGTGTAAGATTATATGTTGTTCAGAAAATATCATCTCCAGGAGGTGGTGAAGAGTACTAAGGACCCGTTACAGCTTAACCCAAAGCAGGCAGCACAAGCAGGAAATGAGAAAGAAGCTAAATTGGGGTCTGGTGACACATCAAATCAAAATGACCCAGCAGAAGGAACAAATAATCAGCAGGTGGTACCAGAAAATAGTGGGAAGCTGGAGCAGACAAAACCAATATCTGAGACTCAGGTGGTGAATGAGGGAGGAGCTAAGCCTGAACTTGCAAGTCAAGTCACAGAAGGATCTGAGTCAAATGAAAATGACCTCTCATAGGAAAAAAAAAAAAAATCATCTGGTGTTAGAAGTTGATTTCTCAACTGGGGTTCTGTGAGATGTTGCTGGGATTCCATATAAAATGGTGATTGAAAATATTATTTTTGAACTTTGTGTGCTACATAATGCTGTGCTCACAGTAGTGAACGATGATTCAGCAGCTCCAACAATTTTGTTAGGGATCTTTTCTGTGCTGTGTGGCAGTGTGCAGTAGACTCACATGCATTTGAGTGAGCTAGGAGAAGCTGTGGATAATTGGTGACACTTGCACAGAGGGGAGAGTGGTAGGAGGATGATGGCCTGTCCCTCGTGACTACCTCCCCAGCCTCCCTTTCTGCACTGCCAACTGACTTAATGCGAGCAAACAAGCTCTGTGCGAGATACACCCAGAGGAAAATTTTCGTTCTAAGGAAAGAATGGTTATGTGTTGCAACTCAGCTGTCCCCTGCCTCTTTGTTGTAAATATTGCAAAAACATGGGTCGTATAGATTAGAAGTGAATTGTTTTGTGAAGTGTTTATACTTTTTGTGATTTTCTTGTTTAGTTATCATGCCTGTTTTTATGTTTTATTAACATTTGTTTGTTACAAACAGATCTGATGGTCCAGTGCTGTAGTTTTTGAAGGCAAGGTGTGAGATAGAAGAGAAGCATTTTAGGTATAGAACTACAGGTATTTCTGATAAGGTTAGTGATGAAGAATTACAGTATTCTGAGTTACTATGGTATACTAGTGCTACCAGGGACACAAAGAAATTCCTTGTTTACAATGAAAGCTACTTCTCAGTGGTTTTATATAGATTTATAATCCAACCTGTTCTGTTCCATTGCACATTGTCTATGGAAATCAATGTACAAGCCTAGCATTTGCTCCAGCAATTTTAATTATAAATCATAGCTATTTGATAAGTAAAGGTGTTGATTATTTTAGATGACTTTTGGAATATCAAAACAGTGAAGCTTTTGTTCAGAAAAATCACATTCGGTGAAAAGGTGTAGGAAGCAAATTTAGTAGCAGAACTTATTCCAGAAAAGAAAAATTCACCTAGTTGGTAAGAATCTAATAATACCAATATTAAAATGCTAGGGCAAGAAACAGTACACAAAATTGAAAAAACTTTACTCTCAATTTAATAAATTGACTTACGTCACATGATGCTAAAGAAGTTTTGTGTAATTAACTGAAAAGCAACAGCTTCTCTGTCTGGGTTGATGAGTCAACATATTTCCCAGATATTTGTGATGCTCTATAGCATTTGTAGGATTTGTAAATGATGCTGAAATTCAAGAAAACTTTTTCTGCTCCTAGAGGTGCCTCCCCGAAACAAAGCCCAATATAAATTTCTCCTGCGTATTTGAAAACCAAAGATTTGTCATCTCTACTCCTGCTGCCCCATCAGTGGTTTGTTCCATGACAAGTTTTGCCTCATTTTAATAAAAGAAAATCCTGATGTTGATGTTACAGCACACTGCTTTCTTCACAGAGAGGTGCTGATATAAAAAACTTGGAGATGAAATGAAGAAAGTTCTCAATGCTACAAAAATGGTTAACTTTATTAAAGACCTGTTTATGCAAGAACATTTTTAAAAACCCAGAAACCAAAACCTGAAGAAAGAATACCTAAATCTACATAGAGAAATCCAGTGGCTTATCAGAGGAAGAGTTCTCAGCAGGATATTTGAGTTGAAAGGTGAATTGTCAGAGTATTATGAAGAAAATACTAGGCCAGATTTTGCTGAATGCTTTGAAGATGAAGCATGGCTACAGAAACTAGTCTGTTTAGCAAACATTTTTGTATGAACAAGTTTCTGCAAGGTCCTGGAGAAACTGTCTTTTCTTAAGTAACGGGATTCTTAGAGGAAACAGAAACTGAGTCTTTGGAACAATCACGTTGCCAAAGGAACTCTTGAAATCAAGGTTCCACAGCCACTTGGGCTTCAGAATGAAGAAAGACAGCAACAAATCTCAAGCCTTACTAAAACTCTCCTTGAAGAGCTGCAAAACCAAATTAAAAAGCATTTCCCCTCCTTTTCCCAACTGGTGTATGACTGGGTGAGGAATCGTTTTTCTAAATCTTCTCAGCCTGAGATTGTCTTTGTGAGAAGAGAACTCTGAGTCCTAGTCTGATAGTTCTGGATTTCTGTGCAATAAGAGTATCCTTCAACTTAGTGCTCACACTCACATGCCTTGAGGGTTCCCTTAATTTGCAAGTTTTTTCAAAGTTTCCTCCAAGGTAAAACTACTGAAAAAAGCTGGAAGAGAGAGACACAGAAGAGAGCTGCAAAATAAGATGTCCAGATTCGGAATATTAAGGGGCTATGAAATTAGCTTTTGGAGATGGGTTTATATTTGTTTTAGAAAGTTTGGAAGTCTTATAAATGATTATAAATATAGCCTGCTCCAATGTCTATGTTTATTTAATGGCTAGTGAACGTGGGCATATATTTTTATCCTCCTAGATAGTGGTCCTGATTGGTAAACCAGACTGTAAGGATTTGGGAGGGGCAAAGAGAATAGACAGGGCCTTGCTAATGCAGATGAGACTGCAACTTTTTTATGTATCTTTAGATATGTAGAAAGTTAACTCTTAATAGGTTGAAGTCATCTTGAAAGGGTGATAAAAGCATTTTAAGTGTGATTTGGAGGATAGGCTTTTGGTGCCTTCATCAGACTTTTCCAAGACAAAAATGCTTTTATTTTGATAGTGCAAGACTCTGGGACTCTGGGAATAAAATTGGCCATGTGCTTACAGAACATACAACTCTGTGGAATTTGGTTTCTTTTACTTTATGAAAGCTGCTATTCCACAGAAAGATTTTGATTTACTAATTTGTTTTTAACCCCTGTTTGTGTTTATTGGTATTTGGTAAGACCTGAGTGTGATAAAAGCTGGTTTTCCCCAGCTGTCAAATATACTGTGTTCTGTTGGAATCTGAATTGATTGATTGAAAGCTTTGTTTTCAGGTTTACCAAGTGTTTATTGTCACTGACAGTTGAGCATGTTATTTTATAAATGGTGAGATTCCAAGGTGGGAATTGAGTGCTTTTTTGCTTCTTTTCATTTTTATTTTAAAAAATTGTGAAATGGGAACCCTAATTCACTGCTGGTGGAAATGCAAACTGGTGTAGCCTCTATGGAAAACAGTATGGAGATTCCTCAAAAAATTAAAAATAGGAATACCTTATGATCTAGCTATCCCACTACTGGGTATCTACCCAACGAACCTGAAATCAATAATCCGAAGAGGCTTATGCACCCCTGTGTTCATTGCAGCATTATTCACTATAGCCAAGACATGGAAGCAACCCAAGTGTCCCTTGACTGATGATTGGATCAAGAAGATGTGGTATATATATACCATGGAATACTACTCAGCCATTAAAAAAGACAAAATCATCCCATTTGCAACAACATGGATGGATCTGGAGAGTATTATGTTAAGTGAAATAAGCCAGAAAGAGAAAGACAAACAGTGCATGATTTCACTCATATGTGGAAGATAAAGCAACACACGGACAGGTAGAACTGTTTTGTGGTTACCAGGGGCTAGGGGGGTGGAGGTAGGCACAAGGGGTGGAGGGATGCACTTATATGGTGACTGACAAACAATAATGTACAACAAAAATTTCATAATAAAAAGAAATTGTGTCAGTTAAAAAGCTCCAGTGTAGTGGTCTAGTGAACTTGTTTTGCTCTGTGGGGGGAAGAATGTTAAAGTTGGTATTTTAAAACATGTTTCTCTAAGGATAAACATGACTTCTCAAAGTTATTTTTACTTGTATTTTGATTTTGGTATGGCCAGATGTTCAGCTTCTTTTTCATAGTTCCTGATATTTTCAGAGAAATCAAAATAAATTTGTTCTCTAAAGATTGGTGTTCTGTGCTTTTTCTTTCTGCCTCTTAGTAAATCTCTTGCTTTACTATAAGTAGATATATCAAAAGATGTTTCTGTATCAAATTATGTGTCAATAAAAGGTACATTGTCCTAAAAAGTAAAAATACAAAAAGTTTATTAATTGCTCTTGAATAATTAAATACTCTTAAGTAATCCAAGCTTAGGATATTTTACAGTGAATTGTTTCAAAATAAGGTATAATAATAACAGTAATTAAATTCACTAATTGGCTTTTGAATTGTTTATATTTTTCTTTTGTCTGCTGAGGAAATTAGCCTTGAGCTAACATCTGTTGCCAACCTTCCTCTCTTTGCTTGTGGAAGATTCTCCCTGAGCTAACATCCATGCCAGTCTTCCTCTATTTTGTATGTGGGTTGCTGCCACAGCATGACTGCCAACGAGTGATGTAGGTCCGCACCCCGGACCCGAACGCAGGCCACTGAAGCAGAGCATGCTGAACTTAACCACTAGGCCAGGGGACTGGCCTATATATTTCATTTTAACATTAATATTTTAATCCACCTTAAAAGATTAGTAATATAAAGATGTTAAGGCAGAAGAAATTCTGTCTTGAACATTTCTCTTAGAATAGTTCTAATCTGTATTTGAAATTAATTGGACACAAGATAATTTCATTGTCCACTGTGACCCTTGCTATTTTACACACTACAAGTCATTACAATCATTGCCTTTGTCAGTTTGGTCATCATAGCAATTTATTCCCAAATATTTTTATATTTTTCTTTTTTTTTGGTTAAGTACAAAACAAAAGATCAGTTGTTCAACAGGAAAAATCTTAAGCACTTTAAGAGAGTAGTCACTGAATTATCAGGAAGCCAGGACTAAAAGCCCTGTAACTACGCAATGCCACAGTTTTCTTATCAGGCTATGTTCCACCCACTTCGTGCTCTCCTGAGATGTTGCGTTAGATTTTCCCAGCCATCGTCTTTGGGAATTTTTGAACAAAGTCCACCTAAGTATCAGAAAAACATTATGAGACACTTGATTCCATTTTGACTATCCCAGCTGTCAGTACAATAGGAGAGAGCTTTCATGAAACGGGCATTGAGTTTCAGAGTCTGGGGCTTGGCTTAGCCTAAGCTTATTGAATTTCTTGGACACCAGAAACTGTTCTGTTTATACAGTAAAGAGGACAGCGGAGCTCCATCATAGGAGATTTTAGTGCAAATTCACCTCTGTGCTTT